CTGAGGGACCTGCCCTTGTGGGCGTCCGTGGACTGGAGGTCGCTGCCCGACGTGCAGGTCTTCCATCAGGTCTTTGCAGAAGACAGTGGTAACACGCTGTACGACTACATGACCGTGTGAGTACCTTCGCGTCCTCTAGCAGGGCTTGCAGCCGCTCGACGGCAGAAGTAGTCACGCCACGGACAGCGTTCACGCGCGCACCGGTAAAGCTCTGCTGTCAGATGCTGCTGACGTTTTCATGTGGCCCGCTGTCTCAGATCCCTTGCTCGTTTTGTGAATATGATTTCCTGTTATGTGACAGTTTGGCCTGCTCTTTCCATCTGGAATTGAAGAAGAATGTAAAATCATGTTTTAAAAAAAAAACTTTTTGTAAATTGTATGCCAGCTATGCCACAGAAATACAGCCACCTCAGAAGCTGTGCGCGCTGTGCTGATCTTGTTGATGAAGATGTGTTCTCCACTCTCAGTTCAGAAGATAATTACTTATTCTATTAAAAGTTCTAAGTCTTTAAAATGTGGCAAATGAATCTTAGATTTTTTATGTCATATCTGGCAGACCTAGAAAAAAAATGAAATGTCACATTGTGCGCATTCAAAAACAACAGGTTGTCTTAGCTCTGATGGTCTAAAGACGTGAGACAAAGACCATGCTTTCAACTAGCGTAGTTGAAAAACATAGCAACACTCATAAAACATAGCAACATTCATAATATATGTGGATTACTTGAAATTTCTCTAAGTCAAGCAGATTATTTTGTGTGTGTGCGTGTGTGTTTAACTTCATTCAATGCCCTGAATTAATTCGCAGTATTAAAATTCTACATGCAATAAGAATTTCTGAAGGTGATTTATGAAACCATTGCTTCACAATAAACGCACTAACCTTGGCAATCTCTCTGTCACTCACCTCCATTTTACAGCCAGGGAAGAGGCACCCCAGAACTTGAAGTGCAAAATGTCCTTTAATTCTGAGCATTGGTCTCGTTAGGTCTGAATACTTCAGAGCACATCACATACTTGAAGCCACCCGTCACTGATTTCTGTTGTGCCTGTGAGCACTTAATATTTGTGCTGATATCAACTGAAACGTCTCAGGTGGGATACAGAGGAGCACAGCGTTAACGTTTTCTTGAAGTGATTTATCTAGCATCATGTGACCAGAAGCAAAGACTGAAGCCACTTCTCCCGGATGTCTGTCAGTCCCTTAACGTTACGTCTTTTTCTGTGATTGCTAAAGTCTCTTTGTGCTTCTGCATCAAATGAACACATGAGCTTCCAGACAGCACCCACCTCCTTTTACAGCAAGCGTACTTTATGCGTGAATGGGATAAGGTCCTTCTCGTAAAGAGTTGCCTTTTTTTATAATTAATAAACATAAAAGGGGTCCCATTAAGGGTGGACACACACTCAGCATTCTCATATGTTTTTATATTGTGTTTGACTGCTCAACTTTGGTGCTATTTTACCCATGTTGTGTGAGCTGGGGAGGGGTTGGGGGAAGTTTTTTTTTTTTTTTAAGGTAGAAAATCCATCATATGGAACTGTATTAAGGTCCAAAAATCAATATTTGGAACTTGGCAGGACTAATGCTTTTACCTGCTTTGTGCTGGTGATCTAAACCATCGATTTTTAGCTATTTGTTATTTTTGAGCTGTGCTTAAGTTGTTCTGGTAACACAGCATGAGAAGTTTGGGACCTAAGTTAATCGATGTTGTTTGATTAATGCCTCTTTTGTATTTTGTGTTTAATTTCTAGTTGCGTCTATTTTACACAGATATAAAAAAAGCTGTCCTCAGAGTCGAAGAAGTGTGAAATCAAGCCGTCCCCGGTATGGGGCTGTGACATCCTTTTTGCAATCACTGGTCACTCAGGCAGAACCTCGTTTTGCTATGTTTGGGCCGGGGTTGGAAGAGCTGGATGACTCTTTAGTGCAAAGGATGATGACTTGTCCAGAAATTCTACTAGTGGCTGGCCTACCCCAAAGACGAATTCATGGTAATGCTCTTCTTTCTGATTTTGGGGGTTTTAAAATTTTATAAAAAGATATATCGTATAAAACAAAAAAAAAAAGCTAGGGGAGAAATAGGAAAAAAAAATGTTTTTTAATGCTCTCTTTGAAGCTCAATAATGTCATTGTAAAAAATTCTTTCTTCTGTATATATATAGTGAAAAGGATAAACACAATAACCATTTAGGATAAAGTTTTAGCTCCAGTGAATTTAATGGTTAAATTTGTACAGTGTCAGAGAGTCTAGATTTTGCTCATTGTATTTGTATTTTGATCCTAAATTCCATGACACACATGCTGTTGTAACGGGTAAGTGCAAGCATGACTTCCTTTAAGGAGTGCTTGCTACTACTTAGTGCTGCTATTACTTAGGGGTTAAAAATAAGCTTGTCTTTTTATACTGATCCTTTATCTGATTCAATATTCTGATATCAAGTGGGGGTAAACTTTCTTCATTTGAAAAGGGTTTGTAGGATCAGGTCAAGGAATTTTTTCAATATTTAGAAGGGATTTTAAAAAAAGCATAGTTCTGAACATCTGTAATTTTGCTTCAGTCCAAACCAGAGACAAAAACTTATGATTGTTTTTAACTAAGAATAACTGGTATTTATTTAAGCACAGCAGAAATGAAATAATTAAATTGTATTTATAGGCAGTGGGAAAGTATGCCTTCTTTCCTGTTGTTTTCTTTTCTTTTTTATGTCCTTTTCAGTGCAGACTAGAGCTTTACTATGTCAGTTTAGGCTATCAGGTGCAAAGCAGCTCCTCTGTGACTTAAGTTTCTGTGTTCTAATACAAGTATCAAAACCCAAACAAACTGGGATCTATCATCTGGTTTTCTTTTATTTTTTATTTCTTTGTGAAATAGTAAGTATGCTTCCCCCTAAGAGCAACACCTCGGTTTAGATGGGTCTGTTTGACAGCCGCGGTAGAATTTTTGGCCTGTCACTCAGCTGTGTTCAGTAACCAGATATTTGTAATCTCATATGGTCATTTTCTCCCTGTAGGGATTGGATCAGGAGTCAGTTTTCAGTTTAATAACAATCAAAAATTCAATATTCTGACATTATATTCAACTACCAGGTAAGATTTGTTCTCCGCAGAAAAAAAACAACAGTGCAGTTTTTCAATTATTTCATACTTTTTCTCATGGTTTCATGATGTCAGTTTTATGCTTTTATTGCATGCATGAATATCTCTTATAAACTGGAGCTTCAATGTTTCTGTCCCTTTCTCCAACCTCTAAATTTCCATGTGGAAGTAGTGAACCTTCTTCCCAAAACTGATGCGTAATAAATGTTTTGTGATAAATACATAACAGATGTTTCTTTACCTCTTGATATTCTGGCTGTTTCCCTTTTGAAACATTATATAAATTCATCCTGGGATGTATTTTAATGAGCATCTTGCAGACTGCTAACCATCTGTATGTGCACACTCGGGAAAAAAAAATGGAGGGAATGAAACTATTTTCCTGGCTTAGACCATTTTCCTGTCACTTTGCTGTGCTGGTGTCTCTGCCTGGACTCTGTTTTCTCATTTTCTATCTAAATTAACCTGGCTACTAAATGGCTATTATTTCAGCTATTAAATGGCTGAAATATTTTAATATCTTTCAGTGTGGAAAGGAGGAGAGCAAGGGCAGAGCAAGCTGTTGTTGTGAATAAGATGTTCTACCAAGACAGCAGCACAGTGGGGAATCAGCAAGCTGTGCACTACAATGTAATAGCTCAAGTTAAAAAGGTGTGCGAAGTAGTTGATGGATTCATCTACGTTGCTAATGCAGAAGCTCATAAAAGTAAGGGGTTTCTCTTTATTGAATGTGCTCATATTTTGTGAATGATTCAAATGTCGTAAAAGATCTGTGAAGAATATGGAATGCATCAAAATCCTCGTTCAAGTTGTTTCAAGGTATGCTTCCTTGGTGCTATTTTTTCCAGTGTCTTTTCGAGTTGAAGAGCTCCTCTCTCCTAGACCTAGCTCTCCCTCACCTTCCTGTAAGGGGTTGTGACCCTTTCTGTTACTGCCAGTACCATATGGCTGCTCTCTTAAGTCAGATCTGGGAAATGATCTGGGTTTAAAAAAACAGAACAAAAGGAAACCTGGGAGCAGGTAGGGCAGTGGATGGGGTAGAGTGGGTGGGAGAAGCAGCCTGAAATGTAGCAGTGGTGATGTAATAACCTGGAAACGGAGCCTGTACCGGGAACACTGCGGTGAAAGATGTAGCCAAGCCAAACTAGGATTGCCCTATAATAATAGCCTGAATAAGAGTAATCCAAACACCTGTTATGGTAGACTGTCTTTATATTCATCAGCTTTAAGTGGAGGGAAAGGGCTAGCTCAGGAAAGCAGGGAATAAAAAGAATGTGGGGGAATATACTGGCAAGAAAAATTTAGTCAGTAGGGAAGAGCTATTGACTGTGTAGTGTGTCAGTATTTCTTAATGGCCTATTGTGATTTTGATCTTGGAAAATGCTCTGATGTTACGGACTGGAATAGGTTGCCTGTGAATCTGTGGAGGTCTTTAAATAACAGCTAAGAATGACGTAAGTACAGCTGATCCAGCCTTGAGATAAGCAGAATTAGATAATTTGCCCATGCCACTTCCAGCCCTGTGTTTCCTTGCTTCTGTGAACTGAAATAATAAATATTTGGAAGTCAAGATAAAAGAAAAATATTCTGCTTGGGATTTGCATATATTTAATACTCATATATTGCAAATTGTTTCCTAGAGCATGATCGTGAAGAGGAGCTGGCCCATATTTTGGCAATGATTGATCCAGCTCTTGGGCCTCGAAACAGACCTCTGCTGGTGTTGTCTTGTATCTCTCATGTTGGTGTGAAAAGAATTCCTTGTGTTTACATGGCACATCAGTTGCAACTGAATCTACTTCGTCAGCCCTGGATGGTACTTGCTTTTAAACCTTTATTTTCCTTTTGTTTCCCTGCAGCTTAAATACAATGTAGGCTTACTGTAGTTCTTGAACTGTACGTATCTAAGTAAATGTATAGCTTTTAACACTATTATTTGAGCACTCCATATCCTAGAGATGAATTTAGCTTCTCTAATCTGTGCGATAAAGCATTATAACCTAGCATAACGTAGAAAAGCTAAGTGGCTTGCCGGGAACAGACAAGAAGCTTCACATGGAGCCAGAGTGGAAGGAAGGATGATATGCTGGTCTTGAAGAGGGTAAGAAGGCTTCAGTTAATTTGAATCTCAATTTCCTTGACCCAAGGCCTTAGGCACAAGGTAGGCTTTCCTGTCATTTTCAGGAGACTAGTTGTCTGCTGCTTGACATGATGTACAAGGTTTTTGACAAATCACAGTTTTTTGCCTGGCCTGTGAGGTCCTAGGCCCATTCTTTTATGCTTTTTGAGCACAATGTGTATCAGTGTGGCTCAGTAACGTATAAGTTTGTTTTAAATGGCATAGCATAGCTAAAGGATAATACTTGATCAAAAAAAAAAAAAACCAACCAACCAAATTTAATTCTTTGTTTTCATACGGACAATGTTTACAAGCTTTTTTTCCTTAAAGTAGCATTGATAATAACCACTTCATAATATATTAGAAAATTTAAGAAGTAGTAATATGTCTTGAATTCTAAAGCTGACAGCATTTTTCCTCTAAGAATTATTATAAAAAGGATTTCAAGTATGCCATCATCTGTAAAGTAAATAAAGTGTTGCAGAATAGCTAGTGGAGGGCTTCGTATAAAATGTGCTATGATACCAAGAGTGCAAAGCTTTTCTAATGGCTCTCATAATTCGTTATTATTCGTACCTTACTCTAAGAAACCTGTCCTGTCAAGGTACCTAGAAACCAGTGATAAAAATTTAGATTTGACTTGAGTATTACTGACATAAGGATAGACATGGAGTGTTGACACAATATTGTTAGATCCGTTGCCTGTAATCTGTAATATAGTAGCTTATCTTATTTTTACAGGTGCAGGACACTGTAGCTGCTACTTTAGATGGACTGCTAAGTGGACTTGAGTGGCTCTTGGAAGAAGCAGACTGTAAAAATGCACAGTAATTAAACTTGCTTCGTTTTACTGTATAAAGACTTTAGCGTGTTGCAATTCAAATGAAGTGAGAATCTTGTCCTGACACGGCATTGTCAGATAAAAGATTTAAAAGACATGCGTATATTTGACTGCATATACTTTAATAATTAACATTCTTCCAACTGTTGACCTGAAGTAGAACTACAAGTAGGATTACCTGGATTCCAGCAGCTGGTGAAGAAGTGATTTTTTTGGAAGCTGTTGGGTTTTGTCCTCATTTAAGCTGAGGTGTTTACAATGCAATCTTTTCTCTGTACATCTTATAATCTAATCTGTTTTTGTAAAAATATACCTAGTACTAGGTTAATTTATCAGCACAGCACTATGGCAGATATCACTTCACATTTGCAACGTATATTCAGTGGAGATCTTGACATTGACAATTCCCAACCAAAGAAAAAACACTGTACCCTGTAGTGTGCTTTCAGCTCATCTTTTGTAGTAGGTTGATATAAAGGCAGTACTTCTTTAAAAATAATAAATTCCCCTATTTTTTTTTTTCCGGAGCAATGCCTAGAGAAAAAATAGTACTTGAAGGAGAATTGTCAGCCCAGAGCAAAATCCTTGGAAACAAACCCAGCAAAATATCCTATATGAATCATTTATTTCTTGTTTGTCATCTTTATTAACCAACCACAAAAGACTTGAGCATCTTCTGCTTTCTGCTTCAGTGGAGTTATTAGTTTGAGCTGGACATGCTTCTATTATCGCAAACGAATGTTAGATAGAATCATAGGATTTTACAACATCTATCAAATGCATAGATCCCAAGGATCTGCTAGTTACTCAGATAGCTGTGGCATCTGCAGATGTGAAGCGTGCTTGGCTTGAGATTTTCTACACACAAGTATTTTTATAAAAAGGGAGACAACATTTTAGAGCTGGCATTATGTTTTCCATATTGATGCCTTTTGAGATAGTTCTGCTTCTAGTCTTCCACCTTTTTATTGTTTTTTCAGTTACTGGATGAACGCTCATAAACTTCCCTTGGCTTTTTTGTCTAAGCATATGTTTGTTTTCTTTTCCTGCGTCTCTCACTGTCTGTCTTCTGTCTTCTGCTTCATTTCTATGCATGGAAGTGCTATAGCTTCACAAACAATTGTTTCTTGGTGTCTAAATAAATTGAAGCGTGCTGTACATTCAGCTGTCATGTATGACTGTACAATGTAGCAGTAACTGCCCTCAATCTGATAAGTGTGTTTGATGCTTAACTGTTTTAGAAACATTCCATTTGGGAAGTCTCTTTTTTATAACAAAGTAGGAGGCCAGAGGTAGAATGTCTTTGCATTTTTTTCTTCTTTATCCACAATTAACTCAATTTTCTAGACTTTTTTTTTTTTTTACTTCTAATCAGGGCATGTGGGAGTATTTCAAGGGAAAATCCATGGGAAACTGTGCTATGCGAATTCTGTGTTTTGTCCTTTTTTCATAAGTTATGTGTACCTTCCCTTTAAAACAGTGGGGACACAAAACGTGTGTCAATATTTGGGGGAAATTTCCATATTTTGTTGTTGGATGCATGTGATTTTCCTGCTAGTCATAATAATTCTGTAACGATCCACCCACATTTTAGAGGGGCAGGTGTTGCAGTCTGATACTATGTTAGCTATGAGTGTGTTTGTTTATGCACGATCTTCATTGTAACATTTTTCTGCTTTCTTCCTAAAAAATATATTATTTTTTGAAAAGAATGATATTTCCAGCCTTTCTCTCTTTGTGTGTATGTCTGTGTGTCTGTGTCTGTGTAGGCTTAGCAATGCCTGTGATTGTGCTACAACAACAGATAACAACGTATCAGTATAAACATAGTTTTCTTTAACGACTTCAATGTTATTGAACGTGTCATTAACAGATATTAATTCACTGTAATTTTAAAATGTGAAGATAATGTAAGCAATGTAATTTTTCTTAACCTAAAGGATATCAATTGTAAACCTAAAGGATATCAATTGTATTAAAGATAGATTAAAGAGTTTCAAGAATGCAGCCCAGGAGACAAAAGGTGGGAATTAGACATTGGTGTAGTCCCAGAGCTCCAGCATCACTAGAGTTGCAGAGCTGGTGGGACAGCTTGCAAGACTGATTGATACAGGCAGGGAGGATGAGGAGCAGACTATCCTATGGGCAAAGGAGCAGCTCAAATGCTCGAAGCTAAGCTATGAAATGGGCAACTGGCCTGTGGAGAACTCATGTGCCAAATAATCATTGCAGACGTGCACTGTAAATTCCATGTCTATTTTAGCAATACCTTTTAGATTTCACCTTATGCTTACTTCTGTTTTAATCTGGGACTTAATCACTGCTCCAAAATTAGTTGGGTGATGAAAACTAAAATGGCATTAAAACTTACTTTAAATCTAACAGTTTTTAATATAAACAACTCAATATTTTTAATCCATTCAATTTTGTATTCACAAGATTAAGGGCAACTGTGAAGTGTCTGTGAGAACGGAAACCATGAAGATTTGGTTCCCAGAAATGTTGTGTCCTCCTCCGCTGTTATGAAGAGGATCCTGACTATTGAGGCAGAACATTTATCTAAAAAGTGGGCACCAAATAAATAAAAGCAAAAAATTAAATTGATACTTCATCTGCTTTATAAAAAAACTCAGTTATTGAGCTTTCCTCTGAGCAGCTTTCCCAAAAAGAAAGCGGCTGTGGAGATGCTAATTTTCGTGAAGTCTTTAAAACAGAAAAACAAAAGTCACGTGCTGTCAGTTCCAAAGAAATATGTGACAGTACCTGCCAAGGCCATAGGGCGAAAGAGGCAGGACACTGACAATATCCAGGTAACTCGCTAGGTGTCACTTGCAGTTTCGTGTGATGGAGCGGCCCTGGCTGGTGTCTGCGGGTCCCAGGGGAGCGGGGTCTGGACCCTTCTCCCTGCCGCTTCAGCGGGTGGCTGCGGCTCCCCGCGGTTTCCCCCGGGTGGGGCCGGCCGCTTCAGCGGGTGGCTGCGGCTCGCTGCGTTTCCCGCTGGATGGCACTGCTGATCCACACCCGCCACTGCGGCTGTCCAAGCAGCATCCTTAGACCGTCTTACAAAATTGTTTCCTTTGAAGTAATCTATTGTACTCTCTCTTCTCAGATATGGCAGCAAGCAGATGCAATTATAGAAAAGCCTATGAGAAAATCGACTGTTTTTTCAAAAGCGTATAGGGGACTATGCTGCCTCTTTCAATCTGGTGGGTATCAGTACCAATTTGTACGGCAGGATGGGTATTGCTGCCGAAGAGAATACCTGGAGTCGTTGTCAAGGGGATTTATGGAAGTACTGCTGGCATCATTGCGAGGTGATAGAAGCTTTAGTCTGTGATGTTAGTTTGTCTTTTGTGGCGTTTTAGCGCTGGTGGTTCTGGATAAAATATTCTCATTTGTGAGAGTAAAGAAATAATTTTCTCAGGCCAGTTACGGGAGCTGATGCTATTGCTAGAGCTTATGCTTAAAGTCTCAGGTCAGCAGACATCTCTGCCCATGGGCTGCTCTCAGTTCCCTCAGCAGGACAAAACTGCAAATCAAGAATACAGGTAGGCGTGTAACGGAGGTGTTCAGCCGGTGAGACCCATAGTGGGATCTGGATACTGGTTTAAGAACCAATGAGATTAGAGTTTTTATGCTACTTGATTATCTCACACACTCACTCATTCCCTCCCAACCCAACATTACGTTCACAAGGTCTCAACTTCCCTTCCCAGCAGGGAGATTGTTGCTGACCCAGGGTCGGGCAGAAGGTCCTCTCAGTTCATGCCGTGGAGCTGCTCACACTTACCAGTCTCGGGGGTTATTGGCCGAGGATGTCCCCCAGCATGTGCGCCAGCCCTTTAAGCCATTTAATGGCCCTTTGCTGGACCAAAGTTGAGCCCTACAGGACTTAGACTCCAGATTAATTCCTGTGCAGTTTGGCAAACGCTGACAGAAGACACCAGCTGTGAGTATGAAAGTCTCATACTGCCCCAGAAGTATATTTCTCCAAGCTCTGAAAAGTCTTACATTGTGAAATGATCCTGATGACAATCCAGAGACACCTACTCTTATTTGTTAAAAATATTTAATACCTCTTGTAAAGTGATGACAAGAAAAATAAACTATTCTATCCAGTCTCAGAGGTGACAATAGAAGAACTGAGGTAAGCTGAGAGTGAATGGGGACTGTACTGCTTAATCAATAGTGCTCCCTTGATAGAGGGATGGTATCATTTTTGTGTGTCATCTTTTATATCTTCCCCACAGACTTGAATTATGAAGGCGATTCCACAGCTCAGGGATGTCAGGGGAAACATATTCCACAAATGTGAATATAAAATGGCTACTCTCCAAAGACAAAAACAATCCTCCTTCTCTGCTTTGAACTGAATCCAGCTTGTCTTTCACTAAAAGTTCTTATACAAGATTCTTATGTAGATGAATTGGCTCCAAAATTCCTCCTGTAAGCTGGATAGTATTCATGGCCGATTACCTTTGAAATTCAGTGGGTTCATGTTCAATCTGAGAGAGTAAAAGATATGTCAAAGCGATAGTTTAAATGCAACCCCCTTATGCGCTATAGATTAAATGATATTAGATAAATTCTTTAAAATTATGACATAAATCTGAATCATGAGGATTAAAGTAAATTATAAGAGTTACCTGGGAATCAGGTTTTTAGATTATAACCTTTATTCAGCGAATGTCCAAAACCCAGCACAGTGCAGCGTAAGGATATCCTGATACAACAGCACATGTGCTTCTTTCAAAAAAGCACAAACTATTTGCAAGACAATTAATGCAAATTATAAGTTTAACTAACCAAAAGACAAAAAGAATCTTATGGTTTTCAAAGACTAGATATTCAAATTCTGTAAAAATATACATTTTGAGAGCAAAGAACCTAATTACCTGATTACTGCTGCATCCATATAAAACAAGAGGGGCAGCTCTGAATACGATTAACAAGTGGTTCAATTTTGCACTTGAATACAAGCATCTTTCACTCTTGTGGAAACAAATTACTGATGAACCAACATAATTATCCTTCTTTTCATCTGATATACCTGATATATATTTTCTGGACTCATTAAAAAAATTAGAACTGCTACAAAGTATTTATATACTTTAACTTGCACTCCACCACAGAATATGAGTAGATATAAACCAGCTGGTGTATAAATCCACAATAAGGGATTTCTTTCCTCTGAATGTGCTCTGATCACTTGTTTCAGACACAAATTGTTAATAATTTACAAATAAATTGAAAATTAGTGCGTAAATATTTTAGGAGTGGCGTGGTATGCCTGAAGGGCCCAACTTAACAGACTCTCCCCAGGGCTGTATTTCATGGATCTTTTGTGTTCCAGCAGTATAGCACAGCAGTTTCTTTCCCGCTCTGTTATTCTGCTTACCAGATTCATTTCATGGGCCTCATCTGTGATCTCCTGAGCAGATGAACTGCCCTCTAAAGTCAAGGAGTGGAAGAAACTGTGCAGAACTCTGCTGCATCTGGACCATGTGTCCTGCCTGAGACTCTGCACACAGAGGTGCTGCCGATATGCCAGGAACCTTCTCCTAGTCCTAATCATATGCCAGATGTAGAAACTTGCCCTGTGCTTCAGTGCACAGAATTGTGTATGCTGGGAGAAAGGAAAGCATCTGAATTCTTGAGCTGCATCTGTAGAATTTCAACAGCAGTGGCCCAGTATGTCGCGCAATTCCTCAAGTCGGACTCCGTATTCCTGGTGGAAATGCTGCTTGGATATTTGCATGCATTTATATATTGCTAGTTTGATTTCTTTGTGTGCACAAAGAAGGGAAACACAGATAACTGGATACTGGAATATCGATGTCGTCACTGGATTCCTTG